AAGAAAAATATATAGCATATATATATATAGCATATATTTTTCTTATCTGAAAATGTATTATATAGTATACAATATCCAGTTAAAAAAAGAAATGTTGTTGAAATATTATAAGGGTGCAAAAATAAATTTTATAATAAATAATGTTTATTACATTTTAAACAACAATTAAATTTGTTTTTTTTTAAATAGTTCATAAACAGAGTTGACCCTTTAAGTAATAGAATTGTAGTTGACGCAAGATTTACGGACACCCATTTTTATAATAAAAAAAAAATAATAAAAAAAAAAAAAAATAGAATTAGGAAAATGACTCTTTAGGGCTTTTATAAATAAAATGAATGAAACATTACAAAGAGAAAATTACAATAAAATATTTTGATTACACAACGCTTTTTTTTTACTAAATATTTGAAATTACTAAAGTAGTCAAACCTGTTCATTAGAAGGGGGTGTCCCAATACTTTTGTTAATATAGTGTACAAGCCAACCTAACTATTCAAAATCTTTGTATGTAACACTCCAAAGAGAAAGGAAAAATTGAAATTGCATCATATGACCCCTTTAAAATGAATTTTATAGTATTTTGTCGCATCCGGTGTTGACACAGTGAGAGCCACGCACGCAGATGCACGTGAACTCTGAATTCCGTTCACTTCCGCTACTATTTGTGCCTGAAATACTGTGCTCTGCAAGTATCTTTGTAAACAGAGTTGCTTATGGCTTAGGTGAAGGTAAACAATTGAGAAAGAAAATGGATGTGTAACAGTATATTGGTTCACAGCAGTTTAATGTTCCTGTTGCTTTCTCTTTCATGAACGTTAATCAAAGAACAAAACACAAAGAAAAATCACTTTTGTAGCTTTAACACAGATTTATTAGATTAAATTTATAGTGAAAACTATGCAGTGTTATTTTACATTTGATTATTCAATTTCTGTAACTGAATACTGTTAGACTTACCTGAAAAATATAAAGTACTGCTTATTTCATTTGTATCTTTGTTCTGTTATTTATCTATGCTTGTAATTTGTTTATTTCCTATGCTGATTTACTCGCCTACAAAATCACCCCAATCATAGATAATTTTTTTTCCAAATAGAGCTACTGAAGTCATCTGATTTTTTTTTTCATATCGCAATATATATCGCAGAAAAAAAAAATATCGCAATGTGAGTTTTTTTCCAATATCGTGCAGCCCTATTATCTTTATTAACAAACTCCATTTGTGAAGTCTAAACAAATACATTCTCGCTTAAAAACTCTTAAAACTACATTTTGTGAGACAAAAACAGTATTTATAAAATTATAGTGAATTTGGGCGTCCGCTATGACACTCGCTGTGAGAAATACCACAAGCGGAGTAATACAAATGGGGAAATGGTTGGAGCTCTGTTATCACTAGAATATTGCACTCCTCTCACCCAATCAGATTCAAGGACCAGAAAGCACTGTTATATAAAATGGAATAACTGTGATTGGGCAATGCTATTCAGGCAAACTTTGACCTCTTGACGAACAACCACTTCAAACACAGGAGACCATAATAAACTTAACATATCAAATGATTGAAATGTCAAATGATACAGCCCAGAATTACAAAATAAAAGTCAGATAAATGTTCAGACATGGCGTCTGCAACTGTAAAAAGTACATATTAAAGAGCAGGTCATATGGGTTTTTGAAAAATATCTCTTTTGCAGTTTATAACGTAGCTATCCTTAAATGAAAACAATCTGCATAGTTGTTAATCAGAAAAGTGCATGATAAATAAAGATACTGTCTCTCAAAAGAGAGAGTCGATTCTGAATCGCCTTAACGAGTCGTCATATTTTCGAATTTTTTGCCTGTTACTGGTATACGTCACTGGGTAACACATTTGCATAATCTCTGCCTGCCCGCAAAATACAAACAGAATCTGATCTGCCCACAAACACTTCCGCTAGTTAAGGTTTCCAGGTAAAGCACAATATTACTGTCTTACTGAAGTAGTTCTGATCATTAGCTGCGAACCCACTATTTTCTAAGAATGTGGCGATTAATGTAGACTGACGTTGTTCAGATTACTTAATTTAATAATAAATAATGTAGTGTAGCGCAGACCTTATAATCATTGTGAAATTGCTGTTTATCTTGCTTGCACCGGCAGTTATAGGGTTAATGCGGGAGAGACGAGCGAGTTAGTTTTGAGATTTGAGAAGTGGTCTGTATCTCCTGCTCTGCATCAAGCCACCCGCATAATAACTGTCACCATTCAAATTAATGTACGTCTCAGACAAATTGTATGTGATATATGTATGACTCCAATAAAATTGAGATAATTATTCCTTCACGAATAAATCTCTCAAAGAGTAAAACTGGCCATGTCTATTATTACAGATTACACAACATTTTAATTATTCTCAAATTAATTTTCATCTTTTTTTAAATTATTTATTAAATTATTTTCCCCGATTCAGTAGGGGTACACTTGTAAATAAATAGCAGTGGCTGGGCCGATTCCGCGTCTGCGATGCTTCACGACAGAAAGACTAGCATGTTTAATTTTTTTTCCGTCGTCCACGATGAGTTCTGTCACATTGGTGACGTTAACCAATAGCAGCACAGAAGCTCTTT